TGAGCACTTTCTGGCCTTTCATTGCCACTCCATCTTTGTGCGACTCCCCCAAACTTATTTAGTTTCATTATTTATTTTTACATTGTTTTGTTGTCTGTAACTCTTGCTTTAGAAGTACAAGACAAGCATCATGTAAAAATCCCTTTTAGCTGAGGCGTGAACGTGTCATGCTCGCATTAAATGTTGACTCAAATAAGTTCACAAGTTGTGTCTCCTCTGATCTCTAACATGATCAGAAAGGAGCACCAGTTTATAGAGACAAGATGTGAAAAAAGTTCCATGCACAGACACAAAAGAAATATTTTGATATAGACCCAAAGAGAAAACATATCAAAAGACATTTTTCTACATGTCTTTTGCAAGCACAAAAAGCAGAAATGGTGTCAAGAGAAAACAAAACAGAAGGCTTGTTTCTTCCAACAATTGCTTTAAGCTACAAAAATCTCCTTGAGTCCCTAGCCTCCCCTCAATATCAGCCCCTTACTCCTCTCCCTCCCCCTCTTTCTCCTTGCTCCCCCTCCCTCTTTCTTTTCGTCATTTCTCCCCTCTTCTGCTCTTTTCCCCCTCTTCAGCAGGACAGGGCCCTCTTTGCACCCTGATAGGTTGCGGGTTGATGCTTAGCAACAACATTCCTGTGCCCTAAGTAGCAGTAAGCCTCTGGCTGAACTCTTTGATGTGGCTGTCAGGCCACATTTATTTCCTTTTAGCACTTTGTCTACTTGTCCAGATGTATAAGGAGATAAAAAGGCCTGGTGTTTACACTGGTCTCCCTCTGTAGCGCGGCTGTAATTAGATTGTATTGCTGGTCAGTCTTAAAGGAGAGAGAAGAGGTGAGGCAAGGCAGGAACCAGCTGTGTCAGGATGTCCCGGTCAGGGTGAGCTGGGGAGACTTCAGAGCCGGGTATTCCTAAAAAGGAAGGAGAGAGTTAAATGTGATGTAAACTTTATACTTTATGTGCTTTTCCAGTGACAGTCAACTCCATAAAGGCTCTAGACAAATATTCCTAATTTATCTGAAGCTGACATGACGTACGGTTGTAGAACTCCAATAATGATTTTTAATTTACTGCTAACTTTTTGGGGGAAAAAATAACTTCACATCTATCAGTTTTTTTCCTGACTTACATTTTTCTGTCACACTGTTTGGAGATTTCCAGCTTGGAGGTGGTAGGCTCTATCTTGTCTCTAATCCTCCCCTGTCATTCTCGTCCTGCTTCCCTCTCTCATGGTGATATGTTGGAACTAATAATCACTATTGCCTCCGGGTTTATCAGCATTTATTCACATAACAACAGTGAAAAAACAGAAGACAGGACTGGTGTGATGTATTATCCAGTATGGGAATCATCTTTCATAATGACATCCAACAGAGCTTCTCTCTCTTCCTCTCTCTCTTTTCCTGCCACCCTTTTCTGTGTCTCTTCCTCACACACTTTCCTCATTTCTCTCGCTCCCTCCTTCCGCTCCCCTGTCCAGTCTTTATTATCTCAGAATCCATGGTGCTCCCCAGCCTGTAAATTTGTGCCACATTATCATAAGCTGTGGTGATAACTCACATTGCACAGAGACAATAATGATGTGAACACTCAGCATATGCCCCAGGCCCAGCAAATTAAAACAATGCTCAGCTTGATGAGCAGACTAATCTGGACAGCAGAGAGACTGAACGAGGAGAAGGGGACTCGTGGAGAGTCTTAAATAGACGACACAGCAGCACCTCCCTCTGTTCAGAGTTGGCACGACTAAAGGACTGATAACAGATGAGACGAGGGATACGTGGTGCATATAGCGCCTTTTGGAAGGGTTAATACGCCCAGAAGATCTCCACATTTTGACATGTTACTTCAACATACTTGAATAAATTTTATTTGGATTTAATTTTATGCAAAAAAACAAAGAACTACATTACGTTGTAAGGAAATATCCACAGTGTTCCATTTTTCCATTTTCATAAGGAGAAAGGCTGTTGAGCGCTGCAAAAGATGTTGAGGCTCGAGCCAAAGTTTACCTTCCAGCAGGACACCAACCCTAGTCATGCAGCCCACAGCTCAGTGTAATGGTTTAGATCAAATAATATGTATGCATTGGATTGACCCAGTCAAAGTCCAACTTAAATCCAATAAATATGTGTGTCAAAAGTTGAAAATTACTGTATACAGATTCTCTAAAGATGCCAAAAAGTTAACAAGCATTAAAGCCAGTAATTAAACTCAGGTATTTTATCACTCCAAAACAGGAAGGTATTTTTGCTGTACAAAATACTTTATGGAACAGAAACAATCTCTTTACTTGTTTTTCGCAGAGTGGCACATTATCGTCTTCACATGGTGGTGGCAGCATTATGCTGTGGGAATGGTTTTCATCCAGCAAGGATGGAACAGCTTAAACAGGCTGATGGGAAAACGGAGTAAATCCAGAAGAGCGGTTAAAAGACCTGAGATTTAAGGCAAAGATGGAGGTTCAACTTCCAGCTGAACAGCCTACAACCAGAGCTACAACTCAGTTTATTGATATAGTAGCTATCCACAACAATTAACACCTCAATACAAACTGTTCAGTTAATTCAATTCAACATTAATAAACTCAATATTACAGGAACTGAAAAATATGATGGGAGCTAAAAATTATTCTGGACTTGAATGGCCTAAAATCAGTTGTAATAAGTTTCATATAATATTCATCTTATTCCAGTTGTCCAGTACTGTTAATCCACATAATTAGTCTCTCTGTGGTGCTGCTAATAATGTGCCACATAGGATGATTATTTGTGGCCAAGCAGCAGGATTAGGAGGTCCGTTTGAGGGCCAAGCAGGCCTGGAGAAGCCATGTCTTGTGATCTTTCAAGCAGATCAGGAAATCAGACAAGCAGAGGCTCAACTCTGAGATTCAGAGATGCATGGAGGTTAGATTGGAAAGACAAGGCTCACGATTTCTATCTTAGTGCCTGAATTACTCATTTCAACTCATCATAATTGACATAAACACGTTGAGTTTGTTGTGACTGCTAAAGGAATTATATCCTCGCAGCCAAATGTGAAAAAGCACAAGTTAGAAAGTTTTTTTTTTTTTTTTTTTTTTTTTTTTGTAAAGCTGATGGATCGTGAAGCTTACTCCAGTCTCTGTTGTGCAGGTGCTGCTGTAATGCTGAATTAAACAGACACTGCCCGTTTTTCTCAAATCAAAGGTGACAGTTCTTATTTAGTACTGTATGTTGTCATTTTGGGTTGTTTTACTGCTTGTGTTACTCTTTCCACACAAGTACCTCTCGCAAGCAGTGAGCGAGCTTTGGTGTAACTTATCAAGTTTTAGCCACTCCAGAGGCTCAGACTAGTGGGTCTGCTGTCAAAACAATATTTCTATTCCAGACTGTTTCTTTCAAACACTCCTGCAGATATGCAGGAAGGCCTCAAATAAGGCATGTTGCCATTTTTCTTTTTGGCGTAATACACGGCACATGCTGGCCAAACCTAAATGCTTATCAGAGATGCTATCTGAAAGCACATTATGTGATTGTTTTCAATTTGCAGCACTCTTTTTGGCCATGAAGAATATGGTTCCATTTAACAGCACCGGCCGTTCCATTTTTCAAGGTTATGCATGGGCATGTTTGGGAACAACAATAAAGGAGGTGGGGGGAAAAAATGCAGCTCCAAACTGTTTCTAATAGGTATTTGTCATTTAAGTCTCCTGCTATGATTAAAGGCCTTGTGAATTTCTTCCTGCAGGAAAGGAAAGTATTTTTGCAAAGGCATCAGATATCACTGTGTCACGATAAACTGCCTGCTCCACGGGCTAAAAGGCTAAGGGGAAGAAGGAGGATGTTTTGGTCCTTGAAAGTGCACCAAAGAATTACAAAGCAAACACTATCAACACGAGCATTGTGGGAGACCGTTGATATTTTTTAATTTAAAAAAGATCACAGTCGTTTAAGTGTTTAAATGTTCATTCGGGAGTTTGTATACATGATTGTTTCGCATTTAACTGCGGACCATTGAATAAGGTGTCTTTACATATGAACAAGAGGAGAAAATACTTTTGTATTTCTATGTAAATCCTCCTCATTAAGCAAAGTGCTGAAGTTCTCAGACTTCATGTTCAAATTCGTTTTCTAAAATCCCAAATCTCTTTCGACTTACATGAACAAGAAACGGTGATTTAAGCTTTTTATTTTGTGCCTTTAAGCCAGTCAAATTTTCACAGTAAAATGTACAGCATGTGTTCCAATTTCATGAGGATTTTGAACTTCAATTTAGATTTAACTTTACTGCTTTTCATGCATGTAACAGACATGTATTTAAGTACAAAAATTAAACAAAATACACTAAACTAAGTGCAAAAAAGACAACTGCAGTAAAACCTACAGTAATATTACAAAATATTATAAATCAAAAGCCTTTGTTCACATAGTGTCTACTAATAGGCCTGATATATAACATTTTAAAGAGGCAGTATTATGTAAAATCAGCTTTTTTCAGTTTTATGTCATGTTTCTTATCAAAAACATACCTGGAGTGCTGCTCTGACTCTTTCATGCATGTTTGAGAAATCCTTTAATCGCCTTTGGCAGCCATTCAGCCGTGCAAAGCGCCTGGGTGGACCAAGCGCCACCTTTGAGGCTCAGCTCCTCCCCGGAGCTGCAGGTTCTAACCTTCCCCTCACAGAGGAGCCATTCCCCGCAAACTCCCCCACTCAGTTCTTTCAGACTAGCCAGCAGCAATTAGCAAATCCCTGGTGGAACTGCGCTCATTATACCAACTACTTCTCCATGAATTGCTGGTAAAAATAATGTTAATAATTTTTAACTGTTGTGATGACTTCCTGAAGGCAGAGTTTCAGAAAGAGCAGGAGTTTTTAGAAGACTATGTCATATGTTTCTTAAATCAGCTACAGTAGTTCAAACATGTCCAAACTTGTAATATCCAGACTCCGGTTACATTAATACTTGTCATACCTTATTTGCTCTAAGCATTTCCTACTCTTCTCTTTCTTGTCTCTCCAAGCTGCCTAACGAGGCAGGATTAGAGAATCGCCCACTGCCCTACACACCTCTGCCTCGAGGATCCAGAGATGCCGGAAACCACAAAGGTAAGACAAATCGATCAGCCTATTTTTTTTTTTTTTTTTTTTTTTCTAGTCAGGATGTCTGTCCTCATATCAAATTAAACAAGGCAAACCATAAAACACCATAAATTAGATTCTTCATTGAGAGCCAAGGCTCTTGGATTATGTAAATGTGGGGCATACCCCTACCAGCTGAAGAGGGTGGGAATCCGCTGAACTTGATCATGTGCTGAAGTTATGTTATCTGTTCTTATTGATCTCATCTTGTCTGTGTGATGTGTTGATAGTGGGAATAAATCTGAGTGTTGGTGCACAGACTTCTTACCGCAAGACGAAGCATCCTTGATCTGTAGACATACACATTGATTAGGCCTCATATTGACTGAGTGCAGTCAGTTAATGTAATTATATAGCAACTTCTCAACATCAGACAGCGCCCTCATCATATTCATTCAAAAGACACAATGTTTTAAATCGATCCTGAAGGTCATCTTCTGAGCTTAAAGCATGTTTTCAGGCAAGAATGAATACAAATAAAACATTGGTTAGCCATTCCAATTGATAATGCATTTCTCATATGTAAGATTAAACAAAAGCAGACATGATTTTCTGCATGCCATTCTGAAAAACATATCAGTTTTCTAGCTTGTATTCATCTGAACATTTGTTTTGCATTTCAGTTAATATTATGTAGAAAGACTTTTGTGTAATTATATTGCAATTTCTATGCACTAAATTTGCTTTTATAGCAAATTAAAATCATTTTCTACCAGTAAGTAAAATGTTGGGGCGTTATGGGAATATGGAGTTACAATACCTAACATAAGTAAGGTATTTTTGAAGTTTTCTTTTCTCTTGGTTCTAAAATAATTGGTAAATATTCTGTACTTGCATAGCACTTTATCAAGTCCAGAGGACCCCAAAGCACTTCACACTAAATTCACTCATTCACCAATTTACACTCTGATGGTGGCGAGCTACTGGACCGTAGCCTGAAGCAGTCTGACAGATGTAAGTCTCCCATACACCAGCGCCACAGGGCCTTCTGACCACCACCACTGGACAAGATGGGTGAATTGTCTTGTCCATAGACACGACAGAGATGGACAGAGAGGGATCTAGAACCAGCAATCCACAGATTACTGTGGATTACCACCATAACATCCTCTTGAGTATAAAAATATAAAATTGTGAAACGATCTAATCGCTGTGAGAATCCTGTGACTAGGTTACAGTTAGATGGCAGCAGTGCTAATGTTAACAAGCTAACTCATTTGTTAATGCATTTAATCATATTTGGTTAAAACACATAAAACACCAAGCCTATGAGAATCACAAAACCAATTTATTTTGTGAAAACACAGAATACCACAAGAAAACACTTCAGTTCAAACATGAACTGAAGTGTATTGCATTGACTTCTAAGGCTATGGAACGCTGTTGCAGATTTATAAAACCTATATTTGTGAAAACAAAAGCAAACTGAAAATCTTATTTGGGAGATACACTTATGAACATAAGGTGTATCATCTCGCCTCAACCAGATGTTTTATTATACCGTGGTCGTGCACTCATGAAAAACCTTAACATGTTAAAGATTTTTAAACAGTTTGTGCCAAAAGCGACAGTTTACTCTGGCTTTTTCTGTCTTTTATGGTGGCTATTGTAATGAGCTGACCACCACTGACTGGATGACTTATTAGCAGTGAGTGTCTCTGCCCTACACACAGTAAACTAACAGCCCCATTTGTTGTACCAAGGACAGATCTGTGTCGTTAAACCCAGGACAGTGGCAGCTCTTGCCAGACGCGAGTACAGAGATGCCTTGTACTTTGTCAAAATCAGACCTGTTAAGAACAGCCCATTTAAAGGTGAAAGGATCTGACACATGGAATATTTCCCCCCTCTGTCTTAGATCTGAGCAACAATGACAGTCTTCATTTGTTATTTTTATGCTGCTGTGCTGCAGTCTTAGATAACACAACCCTCATATTCGTCCTTCACCTCCGTTTCATGTCCCTGCCGGAAGCCCCCACCCTAACGGTTTCTTTTTTCTCCATTACATTTATTTATCCTCTCCTAAACTTTGCAGTTTTTTGAACCGTGTGAGGTAGATGGTCACAGCATGTTCTCATTTAGAGGGAACAAAGTAATGCCAAAAATGTTGCGTTAACACAGAACATTTTTCAGACAGTAATTCCTCTGTGTTTACTCAGCTAAAACCTGGATGTAAACAATAAAGGGCAGACAAAATGCAGCAGGATTTTAAGTAGGTTACTGCAATGTTTTTGTCTCTGGACACATTTTACATCTAGTTTTTTGGCTTTGCTTTTGTTTTTTTTAGTCACACTTAATATGTTTATTCTCCTGTCTTTGCTGCTTTTTCAGCTTTGTGAGGTACTTTGTAATCAGTGCCTACTATAGCAGATGTTTAGTAACTCAGCATTCAAGTCTGTTTTTTTTTGTTTTGTTTTTTTTACAATATGTGAAAGTGACAGAAGTTGCTGAAAAAAGTTCATTTTAAAAGAGTAACAGGGAGACCATATAGTTCTACCCCATTCTTGCACCACGAAGGGAGATTAGCAGCATTTCTGACATCCCTCCTCTGGACAGTGCAGAAAGAACCTCTCTTTCCTCCTTTCAGTCGTCTGCACCCACCATGTCACCTGTGTGTAAGCCCAAGAGCCTGGGTGCCAGAGGTAATTACAGCAGCAACAAGCTCTCAGAGCAGGGCGGCACTGGCAGGTCACTGCCCGAGAGAGAGGGGTAGAAACCATGGCCACAACTCTTGTCGTGATTGGTGAGGGAATCAACCTGGAGGAGTTAAAATAAGGCAACACAGACAAGAGCTGACGGGTAACACAGGAAAGGTGTTATTGGTTTGGTTATAGACTCAAAAGTATACTTTTTCATCGCAAAAGAATAATTGGAAAAAAGGCAAACAAGAAAAGTCACAAAGAAAAGGAGCATTAAACGTTGAAGATTAGACCTTAAGATAGAGAAAACTAGACAAAAAGACAAAGTGAAGGAGAATGGGGCGGGGGGCTTTAGAGTACTTTGGTGAAAGCGTGATATAGAATGCAGTACACAGTCTGGCAGAGGGGCCTGAGGATCTTCCACTACTGTCACCTTGACTCTAACTCTTGGTGCTGGTCCAACTGCCAGGTTAACTCTAAATCTAGCTGTAGAAAATGGAGTATCTGCCTAAAGTACACTACAAAGAATGGTATGTACTATACAATTAACCCATGGCCAGTGACACTGACACTGCATTCTTGTCTATTTCCATGATAGCTTTTTTTTTTTTTTTTTTTTTTTTTTAATCTGGCTATTTTTATTGAATACCACATAAGGTGCATGTGCCTTTTTCCCCCAGTTGTATTTGGGTTTGTTGTTCACAATGGATATTTTTCATATTCACAACACAAATAACAAAACGTATTCAAAAAAAAAAAAAAAAAAAAAAAAAAAAAAAATGAGCCAAAGACACCCAAAAGGGGCCCGGGGGAAA